ATTCCCGGCTGGAGCCTTTGGCAAGAGATAGGAGGCCAGAATGACAGTGCCAAAGAGGCAGCTGAAGGATCGTCACCCTGGGAGCCACAGCTCTGGCTCGCTTTTTTTTTCCAATGGGCCATAAAGACTGAGGGAGGCAGGGGGAAGGGGAGGGGGGTCACCAGAAAAACAAACTAGAGTTCCCGAGTGCAGTCGCTGTGCCGAGCCCACCTGGTGCGGCGATTACACGCAGACCGTGGGGCCAGGCAGCTGGCTTCCGCCTCCCTGCTCTACCACTCGCCCACTGTGTGGCCTGGGGCAAGACACTCCATTACTGTGCCTCAGTTTCCTCATCTTAAAAACTGCGGCTAACGCTCATGCCCACCTCGTATGGTGGTAGAGAAGAGGAGATGGGCTAACAGTCGTGAAATATTTCAGAGTACGCGGTCCATACATACATAAATAATGTCATTACATATGTACATTACATACATAATTCATTACATACATAAATTTCATTACATGAAGTTGAGCAGGACGCTTTGTGGATGCTAGCCCCACAAACTTTCTTTTTCTGGAACAAGGCCAGCCTTAGCTACCCCGCAGGTCTGTTGTGAGCAGGGAGCTAACGCATGTGAAAATTAGAACGTGTGAAAGCTTGTTATTTGTCGTCAAGACCACAGGAGCGGCCTGATTTAGCAGGAGGCGGCAGGGAGGGATGTTCAAGGACTATCAGTCGTCAACTTCTTTTTTTTTTTTAATGTTTTTATTTATTTATTTATTTTTTATTTTTTTAAATTATTGTATTTTCTTTTTTTTCAACGTTTATTTATTTTGGGGACAGAGAGAGACAGAGCATGAACAGGCGAGGGGCAGAGAGAGAGGGAGACACAGAATCGGAAACAGGCTCCAGGCTCTGAGCCATCAGCCCAGAGCCCGACGCGGGGCTCGAACTCACGGACCGCGAGATCGTGACCTGGCTGAAGTCGGACGCTTAACCGACTGCGCCACCCAGGCGCCCCTGTTTTTATTTATTTTTGAGACAGAGAGAGACAGAGCATGAGCAGGGGAGGGGCAGAGAGAGAGAGGGAGACACAGAATCTGAAGCAGGCTCCAGGCCCTGAGCTGTCAGCACAGAGCCTGACGCGGGGCTTGAACCCACGGACTGTGAGACAATGACCTGAGACTAAGTTGGACGCTCAACCGACTGAGGCATCCAGGAGCCCCAGTCGTCAACTTCTGATTATCTGCCTCATGGAGGTCCCTTTCTTGCCAACATCGTCGTCAGCTCTTTGGCCTGTTCGAGTCTTTGGTTGACAACATCCAGGCGTCTCACGGGTCCCTCCCACAGAACAAGGGAAATGGCTGGTCCTTCCCTTCCCACCTGCGAGGCAGGTATAGCCAGTGGACACAAGCTGTGAGAGAGGGACACACACCTCCATCTCAGCCCGCTTTCCTTTGAGCAGGAGGGGCAGGACAGGGGAGGGCGGCCAGCTCCTCTGTACCAGGGCCTCGGAAAGAAATGGGTTTGTCTTGAATGTGGAGAGCTGGGAATGAGAACAAATACACATCCCAGAGCAAAGTACAAATGTTCTGCCATATACTGCTACCTATGGGATTTCAAAGACTCTTGGAGTCTCAGTTTTTCTCATCCTCAAAATGGGGATAATTATACCTAATTAAAAGGGTGAAAATCGGTGACATATACAACTCCCTTGGTACATGGCTAGTCCAATAAATGGCAGCCACTTGAGCTAACATTTTGCATTATCCGCACACCATCCCCTCCGAGGGATGGAGAAGGGCTGACATCTATCTACACCAGGAAAGGTAGTGGCGACACAAGTGATTTATAACTCCGATGTTTACAGTTTCTTTCCAGGGAACATACTAAGGGTTCATGCGTTCGTTCATTCAGCAAATGTTGCAGAATTTGTACAACTTGCCATTATTTGGCTCACTCGTATTTGTCTGGCTCTCACCACCGGAACTGCAAGGCTTATGAGGTCGGTGGCGGAGTCTGTGGAGTTCACTGGATACTTAGTGAAGACTGGCTAGGTAGGTAACTGAATGGACGGAGCCCAAGGCATGTCTGCAAGACTGAAATGGCAGGTGCTCCTGGGTGGCTCAGTCGGTTGAGCGTCCGACTTCGGCTCAGGTCATGATCTCACGGTTTGCAAGTTCGAACCCCATGTTGGGCTCTGTGCTGATAGCTCGGAGCCTGGAGCCTGCTTCGGATTCTGGGTCTCCCTCCCTCTCTGCTCCCCCACCCTTTTGTGCTCTGTTTCTCTCTCTCTCTAAAATAAACATTACAGTTTTTTAAAAAGTAAAGTAACAGACTGAAAGGAGGTAGGGGCAGGAGGCCTGCATTCTGGGCTCAGTCACGCCTCCAGGAACAAAACTTTCCCTTGACCTGGAGCCTCCACAGACCTTCCTTCAGCTGTGAGATACCGGAGGATCACTGGAGCCCAGACTCCAGGAACCTTTTCCCCAGTGGGAAGATATCCATGCAACTGCTTAGGTGTCTCTAAAAGACCTGGAGAAGGGTTCGAGTCCCCCACTCTGAGGAATACAGCAAGTGACCAAAATAAGGATGATAGGGGCGCCTGGGTGGCGCAGTCGGTTAAGCGTCCGACTTCAGCCAGGTCACGATCTCACGGTCCGTGAGTTCGAGCCCCGCGTCAGGCTCTGGGCTGATGGCTCAGAGCCTGGAGCCTGTTTCCGATTCTGTGTCTCCCTCTCTCTCTGCTCCTCCCCCGTTCATGCTCTGTCTCTCTCTGTCCCAAAAATAAATAAACGTTGAAAAAAAAATTTATTAAAAAAGAAACAAGGATGATAAAAAAAAGAATTGATAGGAAATGGAAGGAGCAGCCCCTTCTTAGTAACTTAACAGAGGGAGGGAAATTCCAGCTAGTGGGTACGTAACTAACATAAAAGAAGACATGACCTAAGTAAGGCCCTGCTTTTGTGGATATCGGTGCTCCCACATGTAAGACACACTCGTTCTTGCCCACAGACCTCACTTTGTGTGATCCAGGCTGTCCAGAGACATAAGAGTAAAGGGTGGAAACAACCCAAATATCCATCAGCTGAAGAGTGGATCCACACAGTGAGGCATATCCACACGATGGAATATTATTTGGCTGTGAAAAGGACTGAGCTACGCCGAAGTACTGCTACACGCTGCAGCACGGATGGCCCTCGCAAACATTATGCTAAGCGAGATCAGCCAATCACAAAGACCACACATCACGATTCCCTTTGCGGGGAAGTCCAGAACAGGGAAATCGACAGGGACGGAAAGCAGGTTAGTGGTTGCTTAGGGCTTGGGAGGGGGTCTGGGGGGACACGAAGGTGATAAGTAACGGGTATGAGATTTCTTTCAGGGGTGATGAAAGTTCTCAAATTGTGCTCATAGTTGCACGTTATCTGTGAATACACTGAAACCACCAAATCATACGCCTGAATGGTGAATTGTACGGTATGTGAATTATTTCTCAAGAAACCTGTTTCAAGAGCGAGCGAGCAAGCGAGGAGGGAAAGGGGCTTTGAGAGGGAGCAGGAGGGGGCTGTGCTCAGAAACAAAGCTCGAGGCCTGTCAGTCCTGGCTGCGCCCTCAAGCCAGAGCCTGCACATCACACAGGCAGGGTTATGGTAGCCCCCAAGCCACGACTCGGGAAGATAAATTGGCCCCAGAAGGTATGGGGCTGGGTCTCTTCTCCCCTGACAGCTCCCTCTCTGTGTTTTTTCTGGCACAAGAAACATTCTGTCTTCTTGTATAAATAGGGGAAATTTATGATAGTTTTCCCCCTTCTCCTCCCTGGTGGGCTACTCAGAAGGGGCCAGGGCGGGAGGAGGGAGATATAAATGTGGAAAGACTTGAAGGAGTCAGGGATCTTGGCTCTGGCCCCTGCTGTCCATTTCCTCCGCCTGTTTGACCATCTGCGTGAGGAGGCGGCTGGAGAAAAGGTGCAGGCCCAGACAGGCGGGTCTCTGAGGCAGATATCCAACAGGAGGGGCACAGGGCAAATTAGGCAAGCATGGCTTGGCTATCCCGAAGCATATCAGATGAGATACAGGCCCCCTGCCTGGTTTGGGTTATTTCTGTCCTTGCTGCTGGTTGAGGCAGCTGATGGGGTGGGAAGAGAATTCATCTTGGATTCAGAAAATGGACCGAAAAACGAAGTGTGACCTTAAACAAGTCACGTCCTCTCTCTGGGCTTCATCTGTAACAAAGCGGGGGGTGGGGGGGAGACGAAACCGATCAGGGGGTCAAAACTGGTTTTAGCTATGGGGTCCTTTCTCTAAATAAAATCCTTTCTTTAAGGTTTATTTATTTTGAGAGCGAGCAAGCATGAGCGGGGGAGGGGCAGACAGAGGGGGAGAGAGAGAATCCCAAGCAGGCTCCCCGCCATCAATGCAGAGCCCGATGCAGGGCTCGAACTCACGAACCGGGCGATCGTGACCTGAGCCGAAATCAAGAGCTGGACACTTAACCCACTGAGCCGCCTAGGCGTCCCTCAAAATCTTAAGTAGCAACCCAACGGCTAACATGGGGTGTCCTGCTGAACTTCTTGGGTTCAAATGAGGGCGGGGTGAGAAATGCCGAGGCCCCTGTCATGACTGTGAAGGGGTCTGGCCAAGTGTTACATGATCTCCAAGGTCCCCTCCTTCTCCTCTGCAGGAGGGGACTTGCCCCATATAGAGAACTCGGGCTCTGCATACTCAAGGTTGGGACCCCTTACTGTGTATCCACTGGCACATCACTTATCTCCTCTGGGCCTCAGTTTCCTCGCGTGTAAGTGAGAATAATAGTGATCCCTCTCTCGGAGGACTGTCACGGGGGTTATATTAACTAACGTGCGTCATATCTGGCACTCAGTACATGTCATTATTATAACTATTCCCTGACCCGATGTGATCCTGCCAGTGAGTCTGAACCACAAATCTGGTGTAAGGAGGTACGTCAGGAAAGACGAAGGCAAAACTGCCGTAAGAGAGAGGCCCCCAGACACAGGAACTTAGAGAAAACAAGTTTATTCTTCGTGTAACAGTCTCAGTGGAGCAGTTCTCGACGGCAGGCAGTTCGGTTCCACCTGGTCAGTCGGAGACGTGGCTTCCTTCCATGTGGTTGCTTTGCTCTCTCTTAGGGACTTCTCCTCAAGTGCATGGTCAAAGCTCAGTCCCAGGTGCATCGGGTCCAGCTCGCGAAAGAAGAACTTACCCAATGTCTTAAGGCTCTGATGACATTACTTGGCTCCCGCTCCCCTCTGGCCACACCTGGCAGCAAGTGCAGCCACGAAATGGGTGTCCAGCCGCAAGGCTGTCTGCTTTCAAGCAACAAGGAGAGAAGGGGTTTTATTGAACAACTAGTGGTCTTCATCCAGGGCTCAGACCCACACCTGAACCACCCTCTTCCCCTTCCCCTCTCAAAGGACGGGGGCTAGAGACCACAGTCCAGAAAACAATGTGATCCCCCATGAGGTCACTGTGCTCCCCGATGGCCGTCATGCCAAGAACAGCAGTCACAGGACAGTGACTTGGAGGCCTTGCTCCAGGGAGAATACCCCTCCATCCATCTTCTTCACAAACATGTGAGACAAGCTTCTGCCCCCACTGCCCATCTGCCGCTTTCTCATGGTCCTGCCCCATTCTCTACCCTCTGTTCCCAGTCACTAAGTGTGACTACAAACGCGGGGACACAGTAGGAATGGGAGGCGAGCCCCGGGGAAGGGAGGAGGCCATGCTTTGCAGGCAGCTCAGGCACGGGGGTCAGTGCCGGGCAAATCCAGCTACCAAATGTGTGACCCGAAATGGGGCAGCTCTCTGAGCTTCAACAGACTCTTCTGGAAACAGGAATAAGACACTCACTTGTCAGGGTTGTTGTGAGCATCGAACAGGACACACCCAGACTATAACGCTGTGCCCGGGCACAGAGTAGGTCCTCAAGAAACGTAACCGATTTTACTCGGCGCCAGCAAAGCCAACCTGATCCTTGCCCCCTGGCCTCATCCAGCCTTTGCGTGGCCTTTTCTCCCTCCCTTTCCTGGCCAGTGTACCATCCCCCCCCCCCCCCCCTCTTCGTTACCCCCATCCTCACTGCCTTCCCACCTGAACCCACCTGGATCTGTGCTTTCCACCTCCGGCAAGTCTTCCCTGACTAAGCATTCCAAAACATTCCCACTTACCCACTTCCCACCCCAGCCCCCACTCCAGAGACTTACTCTTGACCCAAGGGGCGTATTAGACCGAGAAAGTGGTTCCCCCAGCATGGCCGCCACAGGGAAAAAAAGAAGTGACTTCCCCTTGAAGTCTCTGGGCACTGAGAGGGACGGCCAAGCCAAGAGCCACAGCAGAGGCTGGGGAAGAACTCAGGCATCCCAGCCTCCAGAGCCCCAGGGCTTCATTCTCTCCTGCCCCCACTGTGTACACCCCAGCTGTTAGATCAGTGGGTTGAGCTGATCAGGCTTAGAGAATCCATTGAGCCCTTAACCTCGAAGGGGTTCCACGCCTCTATCTCCAACCTTCTCAGGTCAGAAAAGCAACATCCATAATAACTAAAGCTGACACAGTACTGCCCACTCTACTGACACTGTTCCGGGCACGTCACACACACGGACTCATTTCACTTCCACAACAGCCTGTGCGCTAGGACTATTAACTCCATTTTGCAGATGAGGAAACTGCCGTCTGGAAAGGTAAAGTAACTTGCCCCAGGTCATACAGCTAGCCTAAGGCAGGGCTGAGATTCAAAACCAGGCAGTCGGGCTCCAGAATCCATGCTCTTAACCACTCTGCTATAATAAGAGCTAGCACCGGGGCGCCTGGGTGGCTCAGTCGGTTAAGTGTCCGACTTCAGCTCAGGTCACGATCTCATGGTCCGTGGGTCCGAGCCCCGCGTCGGGCTCTGGGCTAATGGCTCAGAACCTGGAGCCTGCTTCTGATTCCGTGTCTCCCTCTCTCTCTGCTCCTCCCCCGTTCATGCTCTGTCTCTCTCTGTCTCAAAAATAAATAAATGTTAGAAAAAAAATTTTATAATAAGAGCTAGCATTTACTGGTCGTTTCCAGGTGCCAAGCCCCGTGGAAAACACATCACGTGGATTTCATCAAATCCCAAACAACCCCTGAGATAGCTACTGTTAATATTATTCCAGTTTTACAGATCAAGAAACTTAAGGGAGCAAAGTTAAGCAACTTGCCGAAAGTCACACAGCTAGATAGCTTTACATCCCCTAGCTGCTTTACCCCACATCTCCCACCCTCACCCCCAGCTCCTCCTTCTCTAGGTGGGTTTTAGCACCTTCCTTGACAAATATGCTTTACCCCCACAGCCCACAACCCTTATGCTCCTACCACTCCCATGCATTTCTGTCTCTTTTCCTCCCCACTCCCCCACCCCCACCCCTCCACAGTCCCCCATCCCTCCACCAAAACTACCCCCAAACCCTACTGTCCCTCTCCCTCAGCTCCCCTCTGCCCTCTCCCACATTTGCAGCTCCCAAAGAATCAGATGAATTTCACTTAAAAAAAAAAAAAAAGAGCACCGGATGTTCCCCAATCAGGCCCCCACTGAGCCTTGATCTCCAGCCCCCAGGGGAGGCACCGCAGTGACTAGGCTGGAGAGTCAGAAATAAAATCCTCATTCTATTCCCCCACCCCCACTTGCCATCACTCATCTGGGAATCCAGGGCGAAGAAGGGAGCTAAAGTGCAGAGCGTTCATTTAATATTAACAAATTGAAATGAATTCTTTTAATGCCAATTAACTTGGAGCGGCCCCTTATTAATAGTAATTTAGATTCATACTTGGGAGAAGCGGGGGACGGGGGCTGGGCCAAATGTGCCCAGAATGTCAATGTGATGACGGAGCTGGAGAACCCGGAGGGGAGGGGCAATGGCAGTGGCAGTTTTACTTCTGCCCAGTTGGGTTCCCTCCGGGAAACAGACAAAGTCGCAGGAGGTGGATCTTGGGGAAACAGATTACTCTAACAATTTGATTTTTGTACTTGCACTGGATCTAAAGAGGCTGCAAACCTCATCACCCCATTTTGATGGTTTACTTCACAGTACTGCTAAATAAGAATCTCCTCGGAGGTGAGATATACCCCAAACTATCCTAAGCCAGACCTCTCCGACCAGAAGGGATCGAGTCTCAGGCCAGCTCGCCCTTCCTTCTTTGTGTCCGTTCAAAGCCAGAGCCACAGATCAAAATGGGGGTGCCCTGATCCCTGCCACCTCCACCTTAATCAAAAGTAAAAGAGAGGACTAAACATTGTGTTTCTTCTGGGAATCCTCTTCCAGAAGGTAAGAAACCCAACAGGCTTACCCTGAGCTAGCTGCTGACATTTAGGGGAGGTACAAAGATCTGCTTGTACTTTTCTTAGAATTTAGGGAAAAGATGAGAATTAAAATTGCAACTTTGTGTACCAAAAAGTTGCCCAGAATAAAGGCAAGGAGAAAGAGCTCAGTCCTAGACTAAAAAGTCAAACAGAAACCCTGATTTTGCTGGCTCAATGGGGGAGGGGGGGAGAACAAGAACCCTGAATGTAGGCTTTGACCCAAGCAGGACATTGCTTCTTCCTAGGTGTCCCTCTTTGGCTGGCAGGGTGAGTCAAATTTGAAGCTGGGAATTGTGGAGGTTGGGGGTGAGGGTCCTGAAATGAAGGAGAAAGGAGTGCAAAGGAGGCTGGGGAAGGGTAAGCCAATGTATAAAATGGTGAAGTTTATTAAATAAAAACTTTAAAAACGGTTTAACATGTAAAGATTAAATTTAAAGAACAAGTCAGGTTTTAAAAGGAGGTAAAATACATCAAAATTGAGAGATTAAACAAAAATGAGGATAAAGCACAAACTACTTCAAGTAAATTATTCTTCAAAAGAGGAGGGGGTTGGAATTAATCAAAAGAGACCTTGTTCACACCCCCATAGAGCTTCCCAAACAATAAATTCATTTACCAAACAAAAAGAGAAATCAACACAAGACTAACAGTTTCACACGGAGGGAAAAAAAAATCTTGGAGATTCAGCAACAGCTAAAAAAACGAGTGAGGAAGGAGAAAAAAGAAAGAAACTTGAAATCCATTAACTGATTATTGGTAAATATTGAAATTGAAAAATGGGATGGAGAAAGGTGGGAAATTGACATCATCAGAGAAGTGAAACTTGCAAAAACAGAAGGTGTAACTCACCCCCAAAGAAAAGTAAACTCTCCGTAAGTAGAATGCTCCTCCCCAAAAGAAGGAAATACAAAATTGATCTAAAAAGTACCACCCACCATCCCCTGAGAAAACTATACTAATCCGAATTTAATCTTTGCCCAAATCTGAAATAGATTATACAAACGATAAATAAAAGGATCCCTTCCCTTCAACTGCGAGAAAAAGAAAATCGGATTTCAATTGCGTAATGGGGCAGGAAGGGGGACGTAGTTTGCAGGTGCCAGAAAGGATGGGGGAGGGGGTGTTTCAGGGGTGGAAGACCTGCTTACCTTGCTCTGGAGCGGCGGCCGGCGTACAGAAGTGAGCGCGGGACCCTGCGAGTGTCTGCGTGTTGGGGATAAAGAGGAATAGGGGATCCGGGTGCCCCTGCTCGAGAGAGGAGAGTACAAGGACTAGGGGTACCCACCTCCCCACCTCGGCGCGTCTCCCTCCCTCCAGTACTCAGGCCTAGAGAGCTACTGAAAGTTACAAATTGCTTCCATTATTAGCTCATCCCGGGCGTCCTGGTCATTGGCCAACCCTGGACCACGTGGTCCCTCGTACCAATCGATCGAATTTCTAGTTGCAATTCTCTGTCTGTCCCTTGGCTCTGGGCAGGAAAGGGGGGGACCGGTGGCGCGGGGTTTAGGGAGGGGCTAACGAGGGGGGGGGGTCTCTTCGCCCCCTCACTCTCCTTCTTCGTCTTGTCCCGGCCCTGAGTGGCCGGCCCAGAAGGGGTTGAAAGAATGTTGTTGGCTGGGACACACCCGGGAGGGCACACACTGGAGGAAGCTAACAGACGTCGCCAGAGACCCAGGGTCCTCTCCTCCCAGTTCCCCGGGCCGAGCCGGCCCCGCTGGCCACTCCCTCTCACAGCGCCCACTCGGCCCGCGGCGGTCCCAGGGCAAGCAGCCTGGCCCCTTGTCCCGGGCGCTTGAATATCCTCCCCGGATCACTGCTTCAGCCCACACTTTGGGGAAGGTGCTTCCCTGGGCTCGCTCCGGATCAGGCGCCTGCGCCCTCAGGGGCACCCCGACTGCCAAATTTGCGCCCCTCCTGGGACTGTTTGAGAGAAGGACAAACTTTTGAACGGATTAAAAATCAAGAGGAGTCCGTCTGGGGCAGGTGAGCCGGGCTCTGGAGGGGTGCGTGCGTTTCCGCCTGAGGACAATCTGTCTCTCCTCTCTCTGTCTCTCTCCTCCTTACTCCATCCCGCTTCCCCTACCGGCAGATACTAATCTGCCCACCCTTGGAGGAATTTGGGTTGGGGCAGGGCATCTGTCAAATAAATGGGTCCAGAGCGACTTTCCTCCCCCGAGTTTGGGGACTCCGGTGGCAGCTGGCAGAGGTAGGAGGATTACTTGTGAAACTGGGGAGGACGGGAGAAATTGGGGGCCTGGAGACCCAAAGAGTCTGGTTTGTTCTTTCCCCAACCGCAACTTGGCGGAAACTTCAGGAAAGTTTTTTGAAGGAAGGTGGAGAAGAGAGTAGAGTTGGGGTTTTGACGCTTAATGTGGGAAGGAGGGCTGCGGTGATCCCCATACTGGAGGAAGGATCGGTTTGCTTATCTCCCAGTCAGGGTGGATTGTCAGTGTCCCGAACCTGCTCACCCAGCAAACTCTTAGAGACGCTTAGAGATCCCCCACAGGGTCTCCCGGCGGAAAGGGAGAGAAGTACTAGCCGAAAATAGTTTCCCACTCTGCTGGGGTGGGGGGCGGGGTTATCAGTCTAGAGCCTCAGCTCGGGAAGACCTCGCCCCTGCTGCCCCGGGACCTTTCGCGGGCATTATTTTAAGTTAATAATGACACGAGAGAGGAAACAACTCCCACATTTCTTCTTCTTTTCCTTGTAAACCCATTTTGATCCAGAGACCCATCTCCTTAAGATGAAGTCAGAGGAGTGCTTCTCCCCTCCACCCCCGACCCCCAGCACAATCTTCCTACTTTCTCCAGCGCTCAAGGGAGGGCAAAGAGATGAGCCCCTTACCCAGTTCCGGAGCTGAGATTGCCCCTCATCTACACACAAGAGAAGTCCTGGGAGGAAGAGATGGCTCTTCTAAAAGGAGTCAAGTTGCAGAGGGTGGGTTGGGAAGGCGCGACTGAACTTGGGGGTCCCCGGGTTGAGAGTGGGGGGAGTAGGCAAGCCAGGGCGGGGGCTTGCGGCGTGATCTGGGAAAGCAGGTGAGGGCGGAGGCCGCTGCAGGTGCACTGGCAGGGCAGGGCGAGGGGGGGGGGGGGGGCAACTCTCAGAGCCCTGTGTTCTTGGAAGGGGAGGCCCGGCCCAAACCGGATGGTCTCCGTCGCACCGGAGGTTTGTGCGTCCTGCCCTAAAAAACCGGGCAGGCTGCTGAGGGCAAATTTGAACCAGTTCTTGGAAGGGGCCAGGAGGGGTTGTGCATCCCAGGAGGGACAATTCCCACGCCAGCGCGTGGTGTCCCTGGCCCCTGCCCAGCCCGAACTTCCAGAGGCTGCTTGGCCCTGCTCTGTTAGGAGCTGCAGAATCGCCCAGGCCTTTGTTTTCGCTGCGCCCGGGGTTTTTCTGCTGGTCATGCAGCGGCTGGCTGTCCGGCACCTGCTCCTACCCGAGCCCCCGGAATTGGGCCCTCCTGGCTAAGAGGTTTAGGAGGGTCGCAGCCCCGCACTGCCTAGGGACCTGGTCTTGAGAAGGACTATCCAGGGGCAGACATGAAGGTGATTGATACCCAAACTAAGCCCTTTTCTTTCCTCCCGTTCTGTGGCCCTACCACTTCTCCAGCCCAGAGGACTTGAGTGGAAGGTCTCGGGCTGCCCCAATCCCAGAGCTGATAGGGCAGCTGCCTAGGCGCTGGGTGCACCAAGAGGAGGTGTCTGGCTCTGGGCTTTGTCCCCCTCTTGATGAATCCAGTCTTGTTTTGCCCCTACCTCCCCAACACTCCCCCTACCTCCTCCCATAATCTGCGGGGCTCTCTCTCTTTTACTCTTCCCTTTCTTTTCTTCCTCTTTCTCTTTTTTATTAGGATTGATGGAGAGACAACAATTTGGCAAGGCTCCTCTAAGCCTGTAGTGGGGAGCTGTGGACTCGGCCCTGACTTCTCAACTAGGGGGAACCGTCCCATTCCCGGGCCCTTGCATTTGGCCCCCAAGCTGGGGGGAAGTCGACAAAGAAGGGCATGAAGGATGGCTGGCCTGACACAGGACAGAGCCCCAGCTTGGGGAGGGGGCGGTTTTAGGCTAAATTTCCATTGCAGAGAGAGGACTTAGAAACAAAGGAAAGAAGGTTGAGGAAACAGCACAAAGGACTAGAAAATTTGAGAACCACAAAGATAAAAGACCAGCGAGGGAAGAAAAGATTTGAAAAAGCCCCAGCGCTGGGGACAGAGGAAGGGCCTCCCGGAGGCTGAGTGGGAGAGAAGTGAAGATGGAAAAAATTTGATAAGGGACAGAACAAAGGTGCAGGATTCGCCTGTTTTGTGAGGGGGGGAAACGAAGGGAAGGGAAAGCAAAGGGGTGAAAGGAGGGAGCTAGAAAGTAAAAGAAAAGGGAAGGAAACAAGAAAGAAAAAAAAGTAAAAGCAACAGAAGACAGAAAGAGAAAGGGAGGAAAGGGGAGAAGAAAAGAAGGAAGGTGAAGGAAGGGAAGAATATAGAGAAAAAAACAGCGAAGGTAGGGCAGAAAGAGAACAAAAGAAGGGGGGGGAATGAGAAATAAAGAGAGAAAAAGGAAAGGAGGGCCGGAAACCAGCCTAACAGAAAGGGGATCCTGATTCGGAGGTGCACAGGGAGGGAAGGAGGAGGGAGAGAGGCTGCGGTGGCCCAGCCAGGGTCTCCCAGGCGCCCGGGCGCCCTACTGGCTTCCCCTGGGGCTACCTGGGCCCTGGCCTCCCACCCCGGCTGCCCAGGACCCCAGTGGCGCCCCGGAGGGAGGTGGGGGTTCAGCCGTCCCCTTGCGCCCAGCTTCTCCCAGGAGAAGCAGCTGACTGAGCTGGAAGAAGGACTTCTTCCTGCAGCCATGCCAGCCTCAAACCCAGCACAGCGGGCCTGGAGGCGCAGCAGGTCAAGATCTGGTTCCAAAACCAGAACGCGGAGCCGAAGAGGCGGTTGGTTTAGAGATGGGGGGACCAGTGGCCACACCGCCCTGGCTTGTCTCCTCGCCCCCAGCCCCGAGAGCCTCCACCCTGACCTTGCTGGCAGAGGCTGGCTGCAGACTGACTGCTTTTGTTCCGCCCTGTGACCTTGGGCCTCAGTGTGATCTTAGGTCAAATGAGTCCTTTGTGCTGGAGGGTTCTTCTGTAATTTTGGTTGGCCTGTCTGTATTTGCGCGGGGGAGAGAGGGGTGAAGAAGAGGCCTGGTCCTCCCCAGCAAGGGCATGTTCATTGGTGAGAAGAAAAATCCTCCTTTGCCGTCCTTCTCTCTCTCCATGCCCCAGAAAACTTCCTGCCAGGGCACAGGGTTTCTCTACACCAGAAAGGATTGTGGGAACTTGTAAAGAGCTCGGCGTGAGGTTGTCCAGTGCTGGAGGAACCGGAGAAGGAACCTCAGTTTTGAAAGAGAATGAGGACGTTTCCTACAGGGGCAAGTGGAGTTGAGCTTTGCAGGATATAGCACTGAACTCACACACACAAAGACGTTAATTGGCAAAGGGGCTTTAGACTGCGCTGCAGAGGAATGAACTTGGGGTTATTGTGTGTCTGTGGCGCGTGGGGCCTACACTCCCACGCCCCGTTCATTTGCGCCGGGGACAACTGCCCAGTTTGATTCAGAGGGTCTCTTAAAGCCAATTAGGTAACTCCTTTGTTTCCCAGGAGTGCAGAGGGGACAGTGGCTGAGATCAGCCAGATCTTCCAAGGGCAGCACGAGCCTTGGGGATGGGCTTGAGGGACCTTCACATGGCCAGCTGGTGTCCACAGTAAGCCTTGCAGCCCCTCTCGGGCGGGGGCGGGGGGGGGGGCGGGGCTCGGTCCAGTGCTTCCCAGCACTGCACTTCTAGACTTCCTCCCCTTCTCTCAAGCTACTTCTTTCCTTCATTTCCTCCTCCCCCTCTCTCTCTTGCTCCCTTCCCTCCTTCTTCTTGTTCTTTAGGTTCTCTCTTTCCTTCATCATCTAGCCCAGGCTGGGACTCTTGTACTGTCTTTGTGCCCCCTGCCCTGAGGTTTTGCTGTGGGAACTTCAGGCAGGCTAATAACCTGAGGGCTGCCCTCAGGAGTTCATGATGTGGATGCAGTATTGGGACTGGGAGATGAGGGGCAAAATGGGGGGTAAGCTTTGCTAATCAGGTGCGGGATGAATCAACTGGTTTTCTCTATCAGTTGTGATTGATAGAGACCACATCCCAGTGGCTCATCCCAGGAAATCTTCCCCCACCTCACCGATCTGCTGGCCTGCCCCTGCCCACGGGGGTGGGGTTGCTGGTGTCCCCAAGGCCATTCTCTCCCAGGGCGAGTGAGGGCCTCCAAGAGCGCCCCTTGCCTCCGTAGATGGGGGTGCTGGGGGTGGGGGAAGAGAGGTCAGTGATGCCAGGTCAAAGCCTCAAACTATTAAAAAAGCAAAGCCTGTTTCCCTATTCCCGATGCATTTTAGGGGTCCTCTTTCCCTTGGATGGAGAGGCTGCTCCTCCCTTGGCTCTTGGCTATCTCTCCGAGGAACACACCCCTTGATTAGCCAGGCCCGCAGCCACCCCCATCTGCTCTGCTGAGAAGGGAGGCCACTCATTCCAGGCCTTGGTGGAAGGGATACAGAGTGCCCAACGCAGCTTCCTTGCCTCAACTGGCCCCTCAGGGAAGGTGGGAACCTCCTTCACTTCGCAGGATCCGGAATCTCGGCCGGCAGAGCGGACAGCCGCGCTCTGGAGCCTTACGCCGGAAGAAGTTTCTGCCATTGCGCTCTCCTTGCTGTCTCAGCCTCTGCCCATGTCTGCGTGCTGTTGTGTTCTCCCTCACTGAGGGAAATAAAATGTCCCTCCCCACTCCCCTAGTCATTCCCTGTACCCTACCCCCACCAAACCTTCTAGCTGCTGACGGTAATGAACTCCAGCTTCCAGCCTTGCTCATAAGCTACTCACAGTGAATTCAAATTCTCTTCTGGGCAGGAGGGAGGACAGATGCTCCTTCCTCAGTCCTCCCTTGCTCAGTGATCCATTTTGAAGGCCTTTTGGGGTCAAAGTCAGACCAGGTTGCTTCCATTGGTATAAAATTAGCATCTTAAAAAAATCACACCCAGATTTCTAGCATCCCAGAATAGAAGTCTTGGAGCACCTGGCTGGCTCATTCAGTGGAGCATGTGAGTCTTGATCTCAGGGTCGTGAGTTCAAGCCCACATTGGGCATAGAAATTACTTAATTAAAAAAAAAAAAAAAAGGAATAGAAGGTCTTTACCCAGACCCACACCTCTTCTCTGGCCTTTCAAACCCGTTGATGATATAAAGGCTTGTGGAGGTGGAGGAACAGAAGGGAAATGAGCAATTTCCTCCATCTAAAAGTCAGTCGTTTCAGCTGGTCATTCTACTGTATTTATTTAGTACTTACTATGTGTAAAGCATCACCCCTACCTCAGTTTGTCATGACTGTCGAAAGCAATTGTTGCCCCTATAAGGCTTCAGTGTGTGTGGACAGATCTACAAATAAACAAATCAATGGAAAAGAAAGTCTGGACTCAGGCTGATTTTGACTGCAGCCTTCTATGCACCTGGTCTCAGAGCCCCTGGCTTCCCAGCTCCCGCTGCCCAGACCCAGTCGGTGCAAAGACAGGACGGCCCTGGGTCTCCTCTGTTTCCCCCACTGGAAAAATACCAGAATGGGGAGCAAGAAACATGCACTGGGATTGGCAGACAGGAAAGCCCTGAAATAAAGGGTTTGGGAGGGTCAGCAAAAGAGCCCTCCATAGGTACCTTTCCATCCTCGAGGTGTGCATTGTTGCTGTGCAGGGTGACGTGTTTCTCTGGGTTGCTTAGCCGACTTAGGGTTTGCCTTGGTGCAATCACGTGCCTGAAGGTGACAGCAAGGGTGTACATATGCAAGTGAGCTCAAGGGGGAGGGGAGGTGGACAAGCATTTCTGCACCAGGCTTGTGTGCACTGGGCCCAGACGCCCGCACGGGAGCAGGTGCGTGTGTGCGCGTGCGTGCTGGGGGCCAGGCTGCACACAGATCCGAACATATCTCTGCATACATGACCCTCTGTGTATGCAAGAGTGTGTGTACCCGCTGAATTATTATAAAATTACCCTGACCCTTACAGAAAATCCATACCAGCCTCGGCCTTTCTCCCCCGACCTCTCGACCTCTGGGGTGCCTGAGGAAAGAGCTGACCCGGTCACTGCCTCCCCCAGTCAATGAGTCTCTCTCCATTAGCATAAAACATGAATCTGCTGGCAGCTTGACAAATTACAACTAGCAGCCAGAGTTTTGCCAACTGGCTGGCTTGGGCGCTGTCTATTTATCATTGAAAATGGTAAATCATAAGAATCCAGATGACTTAATTATTCAAATCCACCCAGGACCCCGAGAGCCCGCAGTCCCGTCAGTCCCTGGGCTCAGGGAGAGGGCAAGAGGACGGGTGCCGGAAACTTGGGGGCTGGGAGACGCGGGGTCCACGGCCACCCCTCTCCCCTGCCCCGCCAGCCGGTGTTTCTCTGCAGCTCTTGCCTGCCCCGCCTGCCTGTCCCTGTCCCCAGCCAATTGTTTTGGCCGCTGACCCTCCCAAGACTCTCCCTTCCCCGCCTCGGGCCGCCTGCCACACGTTCCCCTGACTCACACATGGACGTTTCCCTGCCTGTCTTTGTGTGGGTCTCTGTTAGTTTGCTCTCTCTCTCTTTCAGTGCCTTCATTTTTATTTCTTCTCTTTCTCACATTCTCTTCGCCGTCTCTCTCTCTCTCCCCTCTCCCTAGGATGGATGCTGAGCTCCCCTACCCCTCACGCAACTAACTTCTCTGATGGAGGTTTGCCTGCGCTCCTGCCCCCTTTGTTTCTAGTGTCTCAGGTGCCCACTCGGAATCCCCACGGACACACGCCGCACCACCCCTAACCCAGCGCCGGAGCCCTGGAAGGTGTGAATTCTTTCCTCCTGGGAGCCACGCGGAAGCACAAGTGTCATGGATGACCTCAGGCCTGCTCTGCCTTTCGCCCCCACCCCCATACACTTTCTTTCTGTGGGTTTCTGCACAGCTGGGGAGATAGCGGACACGCTATCACAGGCATATGCCCCAGGGGGAGGCAGGACCGTGTGCCAAGAAGGCCCACCTCGGGGCGGCCCCCTTTCTCTCAATGCAGAACCACCTCAAAGCCTAGCAGAGGGATGGCTCAGTGTGAGTTTTCCCAGAAAAAGAATCTGTTTGCAGAACAAATTCTATATCCAGGGGTCTTCACACAGAGCTTCTGGGGTCCCTTTGATTTCTGGGTCCTTTTATCTTTGCGTCTTCACAATCCAGTGTAAATATGTGCTATTTTTTCTCCCAGTCCCGGACCAGACTGGAGGGAAGCTGGTGTTCTCCCCGCTCCCACTGGGGGTGTTCGGGGCAGGGGTGGGGTCCACACTCTCCCCAGTGCTGATGTGTTCACACTCGAGGAGGACATGGGCGGTGAGGAGGGTCGCCACAGCCCCTTTGAATGGCATCCTGACTTATTCATTTGCGGGGCTTGTCCTCTCCGTGAGGGCCCCAGAGCCCTGTCCCCAGACGCTCGAGCCCACTTCTGTGTCTGCAGACACTTGCCAGCTTGCTTCCGAGTGGCTGTCAGTGGGTGTGTCTGTCTACACGTTTTCAGGAGTCCTTATGCTGGAACAACAAGTGACAATGTCCCCACCAACAGGACACCTGAGGAAATAGTTCTCTCCCCACAATTCCATGTTAAGGCCTCTGAGCAATGCCGTTCTCAATAAAATATTGGCCTGGCCAAATCATAAAAGTCTAAAAGGGGGAGCCACTCATTTCTGCGACCGGAAGTGCATAAGTTCTTTCTTGAGTCTAGCCTCCTTTTCTTTTTTGGCGTGGAGTACGGGGAGGGTCAGAAATCTTGGGAGACGACTCCCCCCTCCTCCAAGAGAACATCTATGGCGAATAGGGGACCCCCCCCCGCCCCCCGCTGACGCCGGGCTCATCCCCACCGCTAACACGTGCGACACTTCCCTCCTTCCTTCCTCCCCACCTTTCCGAGCCAGGTTGGTATTTGACCACAAGGACAGTTGGCGAGGGGTGAAGCAGGAGTGGAGAGGATCAAGATTCAAAAGCAGGCCAGCAGCTGGACGCCAGGGAGATCAATAAGGCAGATAGATTGGAGACAGGTTTCTCCCATTTCTTTCTTTCTTTCTTTCTTTTTTTTTTTTTTTTTTCTGCTGGCTCAGCGCCCCTGCCCCAGCTCCGACAAGCAGGTGGGGGACAGAGCCAAGCCCTGGCCTCTGTCTGCCCTTCTAACTCAAACAGGTTCCTAATCCCTGGGTAGAGGGTAAACAGTCTCCGAGCACCAGCGGGATTTAAGCACCAGAAATGCCGCTAATGCACTTCGGGCACTGTTCCCTGCCCCCACTCCCACCCCGTGTTACTAATTAGCCCAACAGCTTGGGAGAAGCCTGGGAGGAGCAGCTAAGAATGCCTTTGTGCGGACCCCGCAAGCCCAGGTCTGAGCTCTGGATAGTGTCTCTGGAGCTGGACCTGCTGAGGGTGGCAGAGGGACTCCTGCCCCCCCACCCACCCACCGACTCCTAAATCAGCTCAAATGGAGACCAAGGCGTTTTTTCTGTGCACCCCTCCCTGAATCCCCCGTCTCCCCTTGGCTGTTCACAGCTGGGAGGCAGGTGGGAGATAAGAGGGAGCGTGGAGTCGGCTCCGGAAATCAAACGACCCAATAAAAAATTAATTGTCTAATTAAAACCATGAGGAAGCCCCTTGCCAGAGGTTGGCTCTGAGTCGTCAGGGCTATAAAGGGTGGGAAAATGAGTCTCAGCTCCTAATAAATCCCTGATTTGCAGCTTGGTCTATCAGCGAAGGAGCACTGAGCGTTCTGCCTGGCTAGGCCTCCTGGAGGTCATTCCATCCCTCCCTCTGTCCCCAGCCCAGGTGGTCACGCCCACTGCCATCTCCACTCACCCAACTCCAGCCCGGAGACAGGAGCCTCTCCGAATGGACAGAAAACCACTGCTCAGGGAGGGCAAGTATTCCTGAGACTGTCAGGCTCCCCGATCGGGTGCCACCCGCTTCTTCCTGGTCTTTCTCCAGGAATGGAAACTTGCTGGCAACTTCGCCAACTGGAGAGGTCTTGGTTGAAGTTAACGAATAATTGTTATAGAGGGGCTTGCTGTGTAGATTCATTTTGACCTCACCCCCTCCATTTTTTGTGAAAAATACATTTTTATGTAATTCACAAACCAGCAGTTTCCCTCCCTTAGACTTCAGGGCTAATTTTTGCGGGTGAATGACAGGCAACCAAGCTAAGAAACTTAACCTTCCCCACACAAAAGGGCTGAGTACACTCTGCCTAGTTGACCAAGTCTTCTGGAAAAATGAACGCAGAGCTGGTCCAGGGAGGAGTGCAGAGCTAGGCAAGTCTCGGGTGTAGATGGGGATCCAAACCTTCTCCCTCAATCATTGTACCAAATCTTCCCTTGGGTCTGCCTGATGCTTCTGTTCCCTCCCTTCCTTGGCAAAAGCAAATGCGTTCTACATCATCAGAGGCATTAATTTGTAACAGGAAGAGAAGGAGGAAGTGGTTAAAATATAGCCTTCCACATCATACTACATTATTTTATTATATAGAATACAATATGGGATATATATCTGTGATTAGCTTTTTAAACAAACACAGGAGAACAAACAAAAGGTTCTCAGAAGGACATATACTTATTCCACATGTACCTCTATTGATTAAAACACTTCTGCGAAGTCTCTTTTTCTCGTGTTTATTTATTTTTGAAAGAGAGAGAGGGAGACACAGAATCCGAAGCAGGCTCCAGGCTCTGAGCTGTCAGCACAGAGCCCAACGCAGGGCTTGAACCCATCCACCATGAGATTATGACTTGAGCCGAAGTCGGATGCTCAACTGACTGAGCCACCCAGGCACCCCCTGCCCTCTTTTTAAGATGGACTTCATGGGAGTACCTGGGTGGCTCAGTCAGTTGAGCATCTGTCTTCCACTCAGGTCATGATCTCACGGTTCATGAGTTCGAGCCCCAGTTCATGAGTTTGCGCCCTGTGTTGAGCTCTGTGCTGACAGCTTGGAGCCTGGAGCCGGCTTCCAATTCTGTGTCTCCCTCTCTCTCTGCCTGTCCCCCACTTGCGCTCTGTCTCTGTCTCTCTCTCTCAAAAATAAACATTAAAAAATTTTTTTGGAGATGGACTTTATAGCCATTCTACAAAATATTCAAGATGACCATTATTAACTATAAATTAATTTTTGACGGATCCCCAAAAAGCACAAGTTAAGGTTTGTCGCCAATAAGGACATCCAAAAAACGGAGTCGCCCACCCTGAAGACAAACTCCAAAGAGGAGTTACCAACACTTGTGTCATTGCCCCTTGTTGCGCTAAGGGGCTCTCCCGCGCAAGGTGACTATAGGGTCGGTGCGCTCTTTCCAAGGCTGTTGTCTGGAGCCACATCTGGAGTGTATTATTTATCATTCCTGATGATCCTGACTTCGTTCATCTGGTTGTTATTTTTCATCCTAAACAGTGAACTAAGCCTTCCCTAAGAAGGAGAAAAAGAAAAGGAAACAAATTCCTGAGCCCCATCTGGGTCAGGATCCCATTTCAGATTTCAGCAGGCTCCCACGCGCAAGCCTGGAGGTGGAGGCTATAGGTCTTCCTGCTTCCCGGAGCCCCAGGCCTAGAGACTGGAGCACAGACACTGGTGCCGACCCGCCCCACACCTACTGAGTGCCGGGCCGCACCGGGTGCTTGCATATGGGCTATCCTCCTCAATCCGGGCATATCTGGCCATTTCCTTCCCCGGTGGATGGAATTTGTCATTTCGACGCCCTGCTACCTAGTCGAAGACTGCACGCTCCTCCGAGGCCCTATTGTTCCAGGAGAAGCTCTGGTTTCCTGGTGCCTACTTCCCAGGAGGACTTAACTTCAGAGATCATTCCAGACACGGGGCTCTGGGCAAAGCCTCACTTGAATATCCCTAGTCCTCAGGTTGACCAGCTTGAGCTGGTAAACAGAACCTTGACCCCAGAAGGACATGACCGTGGCCCACCATCACACAATTTGGGGCATGGGGGGTGGGGCGGGGAGGGCACCGTGCATCCTGAATCCTATGTGAATGGCACCACCTAGAGTTGTGCTCCAGGAGTGCAGTGAATGCGGGTTCCCGGAGCTGAGCAGGGCAGCCACCCTGCAGCCCAGAGAAGCATGGGACTCAGGCAGCCTCACACAGCATTCAAGGGTGAAACACCTACCTCTTGACAGCTAATGTGTCAACACCTCAACCCCTCCCCGGAGAAAGGACTCAAAGGGGAGACCCTCCCTGCCTCACCGATGCTGAGAGATCTAGGCTCAGCACACAGCTCACCAATCTTCTCTCCATCGACTTCAAAGGCAGCTCCGTCCCCTGGGAGGGGCTCGCTCGAGGGTATGGAGCAAAGCTGGCCTGACCCGAACTTGGCGAAGTCGCCGGAGTACAGGTGAGGCTGGGCCTAGAAATCACCGGGAGACATGAGATCCCGTCTGGGCTCCAGCCTGGGGAGGGGTGTGAGCAGGTAAGGGGTGGGTGCAATCCTCACGGTCTAGAGGAATGTTGACCTTTGCCCCGTCCCTCCCAGACATAAGGCTGCCAGGCTCACAAGTGGGCCTTCACCAGCAGGCAAAGCTGCTTTAGCCTCCACACCCTCTGCAAGCCTAACCCACCTGGATACCCTCCTTCACGCTCTGCCTCGCCCGCCCTTCTGGGCATTCATTCTCTCCACTCCCAAAGAGTCTTTCGGAATAAAACCTACTGACCTCTGTCATTTCCACGACATCCCCCTCAAGCATTCTCTCAGCCTGTGGTCATTCAGGCCCCCGTGTCCTCCCCTGACTGGGACAAGGGCTCCTTCATGTGTCCTATCCACCCCATCAGGCCAAGACATCCCCACCTCAGCAGCTCACAGAGGCTCAGCCATCAGAGCCCCTGATGAGCTACAACATCAAAGACTGAGACACCGGCATTCAGAGGAGAGGGTCAGCCAGTCAATAGCTAACCGACCTTGACTGAACTTCTTCCTCCTGGCACAGAGGGCCAGAGAAAGAGTAGGGGCAAAGAGCCTGGTCCCAAAGAGCATTGGGTCGTATGTGACAAAAAAGAGACCGATCCATCCCAGATTTTAAAAAATAAAATAGGGGTGCCTAGGTGGCCCAGTAGGTTAAGCATCGGAGTCTTGATTTTGGCTCAGGTCACGATCTCAGGGTTCATGAGTTTGAGCCCCAAGTTGGGCTCCATGCCGACAGGGCGGAGCCTGCTTGGGATTCTCCGTCTCTCCCTGCGTCTGTCTGTCTGTCTCTCTCTCTCAAAACTAAATAAATAAATAAACTTTAAAAAATAAGAATAAAATAAACCTGACCATGAAGGTGAACTTTATGGATAATAAATTTCAGAGGTGGGAGAAAGAGCTGTCAGCGAGAATCCTCCCGGAGGAGGTAGGCCAGGAGCTAGGATCCCCTCAGAGGCTTCCAGGATGCTGAAGAATCATCATGTGGGGGTCCTTTGTTTTCCCAACAATGTCCGTGGGAAAACGGGGAACATCACTGAGCACCCGCTCTCTGCCAGGCACTGCACCAGGTGCTAGGAACACACACTGCACCAGGCGCTAGGAACACAGGAAGAGTAAGGGGGTTTGTGCCTTCAAGGTGCTCTCAGCCCAGACGGGAAAGGAAACTGTAAATAGACCTTTATAAAGCAGTGTGGGACCAACACTATGGGTACACCTGGCATCATCAGATCACCACACACACTTCTTTTTTTTTTTTTTTAAATTTTTTTTTCAACGTTTATTTATTTTTGGGACAGAGAGAGACAGAGCATGAACGGGGGAGGGGCAGAGAGAGAGGGAGACACAGAATCGGAAACAGGCTCCAGGCTCTGAGCCATCAGCCCAGAGCCCGATGCGGG